CTGCGCCATTTGTTTTAGTTTTTGCCATTTCTGGTTGTGTAATGAACAATCCTTCGACACCACTTCAGGACACCCCTAAACTCTTACGGTTGTACCGCTGCTTCTGAGCTCACAACGCAGATTTCAACCGTCCCAAATCGCAGGACATGTTGGGCGAGCTCTACGGAACCCTGAGGGCCCAATACTCGTACTTAAAGAATATATCCACATTCTACTAGGATCCCTAGTAGGATTTAAGGTAAGTTCCTTCATTAAGGGGTAAACTACTCAATTTGTACTAAAATTCCCGCTAGATTCCTGCATCGAGGCGTATTTGGGCTCCCTGGGAAACCTAGACCCAAAGCCAGTTGCAACGGACAAGTTTGAAGGGCTTCGGCTGCTGTTTTTAACTAGTTCTTCCAATATAAAGTTTAGGTACATTGTCTCCCCATAATGCAGAATCAAATGGAAAAGAAAATGGAATATAGAATGGAATCTGGGATTATGAAGGGATTGTAGGGATTGGGGTTTCCCAAAATTACGAGTGCCACTTTGGGGGTCTCCATAATGAGGACTAGTATTGGGTCGAGATTGGGCCCTCCCTTTTAAGGAAACTACCATTTCTTCCAGTAAAGATCAGCTGCTACTACTGCTACTACTGCTGCTACTCCTACTCCTACTACTACTACTACTACTGCTCCTACTAGTACCACCACTACACACTGAACCCAGGACCGTAACCCTGTCCCCCCTGAATTGTAAACTCTAAACATGAAGGTCAGCTTATACATGATTCACATCCTTCTTGCAGGACACTCCTGTTCCATAAATTGACAATACAAATGTACTACGCTAAACTTTGGGATTCAAGTTTAGGGCTGGTATGTCAGGGCCATATGGGGATGTTATAGGTTCCCCTAAACCCTAAACCCTAAACCCTTGCACCAATCAATCAGACGCAAGAGCGTTAGCATATTCGTCCCTCGACTTTTAGAACGATGCAGACTTGACTTCGAAAATCGAAGGGCGCCATTTAGGGTTTGGTCTAAACTCCTTAAAGGGGGATATATAGGGTATATAGGGGATCGTATAGGGACTACTATAGGGGTTATTAAGGGGGATACTAGGAGTTTAGACAATGGCTCATTTAGGGTTTAGGGTTTTACACATGTACCCTAATTCAGCAATGCTTGCGTTGCCAGTATGCGCTGTTGTTAGGCCGCAGAAACATCGTTTATGGTCGCAACTACAGCTGCTATCATGCATGTTTGTAAGCCTGCCACGGCTGCGGATTTCCTGGCACATCCCTTTTTTTGGCCAACCCTGCCAGAACTCGAAAAGCTTGTAGCCAACCCTTGCGAGCAACCTGGATGCGTAGTACGGCAAAAATTGCAGGGATTTAAAAATGAGCAGTACCTTATCCTCATCGAACACCCCTATAATCTTGTTGAGAAATCACCCATATGGAGGGGTTTTAGGTCATGAGGGGATTGTAGGGATCCCCATTAAGAATCATGTAGCGGACTATTTCGGGAACTCCAATATTCTGCCAAGGAAATTATGGCGATGTAAACGGTCTCGTATGGAGCGATATCTGAATTTTGATCCCTTTTCGGATGCCCGTATGATGCTATAGGTACCCAGAGAGGGACGACGACTTTGGCAACCTGCCATGCGGGTTTCTAAAAAGGACAGTCTCGGGGACCTTAGGAATAGGCCTTTTGGGGTGCCTCTTCGCGCCATGTAGAGCTCACTTTGCGTCTAATCCTCAACCCTAACTTCTGAACCCTGAACTCCAAACCATCCTAAACCATGAAACCACTGTCTTTGAAAGTATTACATAATACCTACACCAGAGTGAATCTCCGGGAGAACTTGATGTCACTCTGTAATTTAATGGTGGTGACGGCGGCGGCGGCGGCGGCGGTGGTGGTGGTGGCAGCGGCCGCCTCCTCAGCAACCGTAGCCGTAGTAGCAGTAGCAGTAGCAGTAGCAGTAGCAGTAGCAGTAGCAGTAGCAGTAGCAGTGGCAGTAGCAGTGGCAGTAGCAATAGCAGTAATAGTAGGAGTACTAGTAGGAGTAGTAGTAGGAGTAGTAGTGGTAGTAGCAGTAGCAGTAGCAGTAGCAGGAGCAGGAGCAGGAGCAGGAGCAGTAGCAGTAGTAGTAGAAGAAGGATCACTGGTAATGATCGTGCAGTGATGATGATAGTGATTGTACTTGGAACTATAGTAATCATCATGATAAGGATAGTATCAGTAACAGCACTGATAATAATATTGATAGTACTCGGCGTAAACCCTTGAGAGCTCAAGACTCACCCCAAAGGCTAATTAAACGCTGCTTAAGGTGAATTGACTTATAGGCCCCCTTAAGTAGATAGAACATGCCTTTGGGTATATTATAGCAAGATCCCCACATACCCCATACTCTATCTACTTAAGGTGAACTATAAATGTACGGTACATCCTGCCTCACCTTTCTCTTGACTGGATTGCTGTTGAGGGGTTTGAACTAAGTTACCAAAAGGCAGATCTTGTACAGTGAACACTATGGTTTCCCCCTCACAAACAGCAACCCTATTGCTGGGGTCATTCCCCCTTACAGTAACGGTTACCACAATGGGTTCTAGGAGGTATAAGAACCCCCCTTAATCAGGCCCCTTCAAGGACAATTACTGGGAGGGGGAATGACCCAACCTCTACATTTTGAACCCTAAACCCTAAACCTTCAGTTCTCAACTCTAAACCCTGGACCTATTAACTCCAGGTTCTTGCCCACGACCTTGCCCACAAAATTTATGACCTTGCCCACCAAATTTACAACCTTGCCCGCGAAATTTAGCCCAACAAATTGATGACCTTCGCACACGAAATCTCACCACAGCTTTGTGGGCGAAGGTCATAAATTTCGTGGGCAAAGTCATTTTTGTCTTTGACAATGTTGATTTCTGTTGGGCAGGGTCGAAGAGACCTTGACCACAAAAATTATGACTTTGCTTGCGAAATTTATGACTTTGCCCACAAAACCATTGACATTCAAGATATATAGGTAAGAGAGGTTAAAGGCTTAGGGCTTAGGGGTTCGGATTCAGGGTTGAGGGTAAGGGTTTAGGATTAAAGGCTCAGGGCTAGGGTTTAGAGTTAAAGGCTTAGGGCCGAGGGGTTTAGGGCTTACACGGTTTAGGGCTTAGGATTTAAGGTTGAGGGTTAAGGGTTGAAGGTTCAGGTTTTAGGGTTGAGGGATTTAGGGTTTAGGGTTTAGGGTTTCGGGCTTAGATTATATAAGGGTTAAGAGTTTAAGGTTTGGGGTCTAGGGTTAGGATTTTTGGTTCTCAAGCTTGTTGGGATCTGAAGGTTCATAGCCTGCTTAGAGCTTGTACGGCTCTAGGGGTGCTTGACCTTCGTAGGGTTCTCAGGGTGCTTAGTGTTCTGAAAGTTCCAAGGTGGAAGATTTTTTGGGTTTGCCCTGCTCAGGGTTTTCATTTGCGCCTCATAGGACTTGGGGCTTGAGGGTTTTAGACTCTAGGGTTAATGTAGGCTTTGGGGTTCCAAAGTTTGAGGGCTTGAAGGTCTTAGGGTTAGAAGAGTTTGTGGGTTGAGGCGTTTAGGGTTCAAATGTCTTGGGGATGAAGATCCCAGATTCTAGGGTTGATAGGGTTGAGGGGTTCTGGCTGTATTGACTTGGCGTTGGGGGCTTAAGGGCTGCTAAAATCATGTTGTGATTTTGGGTACCGTAAGGGGGAATCACTCCTTAAACAAACTCCTCCGCGCACCCTTAAAAATCCCAAAGAAACTCCACGCGGTTTAGGGTACATTTCCTGTTTGGAACGAAGGCCGCTGTGAGGCCGAGGCCACGTTGTGAGCCACCGCGTCCAGCTCAATTGCGCAGGCCCTCGCCTGCGCCAGATTTCGCTTTAAGGTTTGGGGTTGGAGCTTTGCGATTTGGGATTTGTACTCATGCTAAAGCAACTACAATCGGAAAAGAAAAAGGTCAACAACAAATCCACTAGGTGGAACTTTTGGTAGCTTCCGCTTAGGATTAAAGACTTTGAGACTTAGGCTGAGAGCCTGTGGCTCTGAACATCCTCTGCTGCCAAGTAACGGCGCCGGATGGCCACCGGCTACGGGCAGCTGATGCTCATGATGCTGGCTTTCGGCGCCGGATGGCCACCGGCTACGGGCAGCTGATGCTCATGATGCTGGCTTTCGGCGCCGGATGGCCTAAGGCTACGGGCAGCTGATGCTCATGATTCTGACTTTTCGGCGCTGCATGGCCACAGGCACCGGGCAACCGATGCACATGATGCAGGCTTTCGGCGCCGGATGGCCACAGGCTACAGGCAGCTAGTGCTCATGATGCTGGCTTTCGGCGGCCACAGGCTACTGGCAGCTGAAGCTCAAGATGCTGGCTTTCGGCACCGGTTGGCCACAGGCTGCGGGCAGCTGATGCTCATGATGCTGGCTTTCGGCCCTGGATGGCCACAGGCTACGGGCGGCTGATGCTCATGATGCTGGCTTTCGGCGCCGGATGG